TTAAAACCTTTACAAGTGTTCTATATCAAAAAATATATAGTTTTAATCCCGTTTAAAAAGATGCCCGAATAATTTTGCTAGTTAAAACATTTGTACCATACAAAGGTCCTATTTAGCAAGCTTTTTTTAATAAAACAATAACCTAAAACTCAAATAAAATTAAAACAATCGCACAATGCATTGAAAATAGACGAAATAACAAATCCCTTATTATATTCGAATAAAATTCTCGCCGTCAAAAAAATGTTAAACAAAACACACTCAATGTTCAATGAACACAAAGTGTTAGGATTTTATTGCCAGCCGTTTTCATTTTATTCATTCCGAGCGATTACCGCAATTTTATTGTGCGCCATTTTTTTTTTTATATGAATTCGATTAAAAGTTTCGCGCTCAAACTAGGCGTAACAAATGTCCATTGGTTCGGGCAAATGTATTGGGCACAGGTAGTTACAAATGAGGCCCCTTCGTACAGCTGACCTAGAAAAATTAACTCCGATCCGACTGAGGCGTGTGTGTGGAAACGCATTAGACCAATCAACGATATCAATTAATCAAAATCAATCCAGGTTTGTTTATTTTCAACAGAAATTATACATTTATGTAAATGAAAAAAAAGTACTACATTGCACTAACATTGCTGTGGAAGGACATTACTCAGCTGTTGCTGCAACAACAAATTTGTTACAGCAAAAGCCGGTAAAATAGATACATTCTAGAAATTAACAAAATACGTATTATTTCTCGTTATTTCTAAACGAAATAACGCAGAAAACGTTTAGAAACTAAACCGATATTGTATTTTTGTTTTATAAATTGTTTGAGACTTTCGCGGCCATTTTGTAAAGCTTCTTAGGTTTTCGAGCAATTCGGCTATTGTAATTGGAAAATGTTCTCGACGTTTTGCCGGTACTAATAAGACTTTACTCTTTACTAAGATCACAAAATCTCTACAGATGTCCAGAAACATTTAATTACCTATAGTAATATATAAAGCTGAAGAATTTGTTTGAACGCGCTAATCTCAGGAATTACGGGTTTGAATTGAAAAAATATTTTCGTATTAGTTAGAGCATCTATTGAGGAAAGTTATAGGATATAACACATTGCGATGTGACTGATAAGAGCGAAGATACAGCGAGAAATGTGAGCAAAACGGGGGAATTTTTTCATCTCGGTAGATTTCAGACGTTGCGAAAACGGTTGAACCGATACCTAAAAATTGTATGTTAAATAATGATTCCCCTTTACATGATCTAAAAAAAGGTTAAGACGCAAAATATCTATCTTTTAAGATTAACTTGCAATAACGACCCGACCGACGGGGTGCGAATGACGTACGTGGGAGTGGGAGTGGGAGTGAGAGTGAATGTAGGAATGAGAATCACATGAGCACTTACAACATAGATTGGCTGCCTCAAATGTGTCCTTACATAAATTAAAAAACAACCTGAATAATTAAAAATTTTGCCCCAAATCACTATTCCACGCGGACTAAGTCGCGGGCACAGCTAGTTTGTTATAAGTTAGGATTGTAACTTATTAATCATCGAAATATATAACTATAAGATCGTTACTTATAATACAATATTAAGCCGCCACCTAGTAAGTATTTGGGTAAAATAATAGAGATACTAATGAGAACACATATATATGATATAATAATTTAACTTATATGGGTTTCTATGTAAATGTATTGTCCATATATTGTATAATAATGTTAACGATACCATATAAAAAAAAAGTTTGAACCGATCCATACTAATGTAAACGCTAAAGGCAAAAACGATTCAAGATACCAACAAAATATTAGTATGAAAGAATAATTTCTAGCAAAGACGAATTTGGATGTCCAAAATAACGATTCTCGCGGACGAAGTCGCTGGCATAGCTAGTGTTTTTAATATTTATGTATTTACTACTATAGAGTAAATAAGCAAACAATATCATTGAAATAGAACTTTTTAATTTTAAAAAACGAAAAAGAATTTAAACAATTTTCGACAGGATTTTGCAGGATTTGAACCGGCATCGTCAGCGTACCGTGTAATTCATTTTCGATTTTTAAAATTATATAGTACCTTCATGTACAAATGTAAAAAACAATAAAGTTTTCAAACTTTTTAATTATTATATTTACTTGTAATACTAAGAATATGTTTAAAAACATCATTATGAATTCTAGAGCTTCATAAATAAAAATACTAAGTCAATTTTGCTCGCTGCAAACAATAAATGTGTCCGTGGAACAGTACGTTTCGTGAGTTAAATGTGCTATAAAATTAGTTTTGCTTTCTGGAACTAGAACAAGAGCGATCGAGTTATGAAAAAATCATTCTTTTTTTGAGATATAATGGGTCTTCGAGTTCTTTTTGTGGTTTTTACATAAAGGATACAAACGGAACTCTAATAACTGCTTTCAGTCTGTCTTTCTGTTTAATCGCAAGGTTATCTTAAGATTTACGACAAATATATAGAAGCACAATTACGATATCTGAGATAAAATCTCTCAAATTATATATATCTCTTGTCGCTTTAACAACAAGTGTTTAAACATATTGGAATAAATATGTATCCCTTACAACAATACAAAATGGTCACAGGCAATCATTTGAATAAAACATTTTAACGGTTTAAAACGGGAAATATTTTAGTCAGCCACGGCTGCTGCAAGTCATGGAAAAATTTGGAATCATAATATTTATTCGCATGTTTCAAACCGTTAAAAGTGTTTTACTTAAATGTGTACTTGCGTAAACATAGACAGTACTGTTTTTCTATAGTCTAAATGCTTATTGCTTTTCTTTGTCACTATGTTTAATGAAATAACAAAGCTGAACCACGTCAAGAAACACAATTTCAAATAGTTAGTTATTACAGAGCTCCGAAAAGCAGTAGAAAATGTCGGGACATTATTGTAATTTTGAGCTACTTTGACGGGGGCGGTCGTGTGTAACCTCTCATTTTCCTTACCGAAATTCAAAGCCGCGTTAACAAAGCGTTGTTTTGCATCGCGCACGTCTGAAAAGCAGCCTTTTTAGATAAGACTCCTTATACATTCTGTAGCGCTGCACAAGTTTTTGGTGGAGCATCTGCTGCAATTCCCATTGTTCCACCAGGGTTTGACAACTTGTGAAGGATATAATTAATTGTTGTTGAATGTGACATTCCAATTAAACCGCGTTGCCGCTGCAACATCTATGTTATTTTTCTCTTGGAAATAACGAGTTTACAGTCGCCGTTGTTAGATGTATCTGTGGGTTTTTAACACAATCTTCTATCTAATTTCACAATAGGATTATCTACAAACTAGATGTGTCAGCTATGTCGTCCGCGTAGAATAGTTATTTTGGGGATATGAAATATATTTTTGAAAAATCACATCTTTATGAATATAGCTGTTGCCGACGACGTTCTCCGCGTCCCGTCGTTCATGCAAGAAAATCTTAAAATAAAAGATAGACACAATATACTGTCGCGAAAATTGTTTATATCGTTTGAAGAGGAATCATTCTTTTATCTATAAAAATAATAATATTATGCGCGTTCAAACATACAAACAAACAATCTCTTCAGCTTTATATATTAGAATGGATAGAGCCACAAAAACTGAATGCTTATTTCTTAGTGTCGGTTGATATTTGCAATGTTTTGACAAATTGGAAGTTAACTACAAAATCAGTTATTGCGAATAATAGTTAATTAGACTTCTATGCCTTGCATGACGGAAACAATTTACCGTTTTCATCAGATTCGAACCTAGGACTTGTCATGCTGATCGCAATTAACAAGTACTGAACTACGGGGGCGGTCCGCCATCGTGTAGTATACTATACAACGGAAAATGTCTCTTCAGAATATAACTGAAGGAAAATAACAAAATGAGATGATTGATTCAATTACGCTGACGAAATTTGGTATATGTCGTATGCTGTAAAGGTTGTATCTTTAATGTGAAGAAATCGAAAATACAATTCGCAGAATATATTCGACTAGACAGTATTCACCGGATTCTAGGGTCCTGCTGGTTTTTTCAGTTAAGCTACAGTTTCCACAACTCTTGTCATTTTTTTCAACATCAAGACACTCGCAATTTAAAAATCGAAAATAAATTGAAAACATATTCGACTCGGGTCGAGGATTTTTCACTTTATCGATTTTTCAATTAAAAATAAATGACGATACGTAATTGTTCTATAAACGTATAAAGTTTATGGATATTATTTTTGTATGTTTGTTAATTCTGAACAGTGTGAACCTAAAAATATATATTCAACTTTGATTGGAGACTTCTATTCACGAATCCATAATATGTAAGTGTAAAACTTATTGTTTTAGCAAATAAATTTCCAATTTGCGAATATTTACTTGCCTCAGTACATTTCCGCCTAGTAGTCATATATGCTCTATTATTTAGTTACTATCTATCAGGAAAACATAGTTATTTATTCTGGAATCAACATTATTCATAACTACGTTGTTACAACTACAACATATTGTAATAATGCATTAATTTAGTTTTGATCACCATAAAGATGGTTTTTACAATATTATATTGTTTCGACATTTTTTAGATTATTTTAAGAGAATTTATTATTTTATACATATTTCTTGATTCCTTGAACCCTTATCACAGCGAGAAGCCCTTAGCCCTATTATTCCACATTGCACACTTTTTCTTCGCTCCTATTAGTCGCAGCTTGAGAGTATAAAGCTATCCTATTAAATATACATAATAAGGCTTTCGCCTTACAGGCTAAACCCGTACTTCCTTAGATTTGCACATTCAAGAAAACTTTTTAACTTTATAATATTATAATAGATTTACAGTTTACAGTTCATTTGCCTTATACCTCATATAACTTTTTAAATCCCATCACTAATACTTTATTGTTTGTATTGAGTTGTCATACATAAATAACATTTATGTTCATAACATAATAAATCAATTACACTTAAAATAAAGACACAAAGTTTTTATTACTTTGTTATTAACTTACCTATGACTGATAGTCGTATCTGAAAGTTCCTTGTTGGCGAATTCTTGAAATCGACGCGACATCTGTACACTCCTTCATCGTCCAGCTGGACTGTGTCAAGGGTGAGTGAAGCAGGGCGGGCGACAGTGGCGAAATACGCTCTAGGCCCGAAGACATTGGGGTCTGACCACTGAAGTGCCTTGTTGAACGACCGCCCCCGGACGTCAAAACTGAAACAAATAATAAACACATATAAAGAGATTCGTAAAAATGTCTATGTGCGAAATCAAACCAATTGTTTGAATAAATCACTTTAACGGTTTAAAACGCGATATATTTATTTTAACTAAAAGATTTGGAGATTAATTTTAACTATGGCCCGACGCTTTGCAGTAGCCGTGTTCACGAGTTTCTTTTTCACGGGAGAATAGTAACTAATATTTATTGCGTTTTAAATGTAAGTATTTTATTTAAATGTGTACAACTCGTAATTGTTGATGAGTTTTAATGTTTTTTTTTATAACAAACTGAACTTTACATTAATTTTATATAAAATGATTTACCTAAAACGAAAAAATATTTTTTTCAAATTCTGTTACTATCTTTTAATGTGTTAAATCACAGTTCGAAAAACATATTAAATCATTATTATATTTATAGAAAATAAGATTCTTTAAATCACACCATTTTAGGTTACGCGTGGTAAGCCCTCCATTTTTTTCCTATTTACGTCAGGTATATGTCAACTCTCGGCGTTTATGGGAAATTGAAATTTCCCTATACGGTTTTCCATGCCCTCAAGAAATCTTATTTTAACTGGGCGCAGGAATTAGTAGAAGTTTACAGATAAATATATATTTATAAATTATTTTCTAACATTAACGAAGCTCTTTGATAACATTCTGTTTTGGAATTAAAAACTAACTTCTTTGGCAGGGGCGGAATTCGATCCCATGTCTGCAGTACTGTTGGAATCCAAAATAGATATTTAATTTCAATCGTCTATATAATTAACTTGTTAGTATCGTTACATTTGCCCTTGCAAGCTAGTTCACATTCAATTAATGTTAGTGAAAAAATACTCGAGTTCAAATACACTAAAAAATGGTTCATACATATTATATTAGAGACGAATCAATCTCTACCTTAATTTATTTCTATATAAAGACAAGTATAGCTGAGAATATTAAATATAACCAAGCCTAGACTAAAAGCGTCGTATATGTAACATAATGATCAAATTTCAAACGTAAAATTAGTGAAATCCTCGCACCTTGAAGAAAATTACGTTACAAGATTCCGAAATTAAAACCACTAATAACCTACGCAACGTAACTAAACGAGTAAGGCTGTGGTCTCTAATGAATGCTTTAAATAGCGTAACCATATATTAGATTGTTATATTAGGTCGGTGGGTAGGACATTTCATGCGGAAACGACGACAATGATTTGTAGACTAGACATTCGTTGAAAAGGATTTATGTCACTTACATAGTTGACTAGACAGTGTGTGTGAAAGAGACAACAACATCACGTTTCGGTAATAGTAGATCGAAAGCAGTAGGCCCCACAATGTCATCGTTTTTTAGAAATGTTGGTTGTAATTTTTTTAAATTGTAACTTATCTCAGGTGTAGTGTGTCTGCAAATATAATATTGGGACGTTCGTGAGTTTAGGAAAAATAAGAATGGAATGACCCACAGATAAAAAGATATCATGGTTTATTTACATCTGTTACGAATTCTTCCACTAGTTCCTCCATACTCAGACGACATCTAACGTGCTTTAAAAAAAATAAAGAAAATAGTAAGTTACTTTGTAAGCTACCTTAAGTATTTATAGGAGACCACAGACTAACGACTAAAGCTATTATAAAATTTCCTAACACACAAAGCAATTCATGTCTAATTCCTACGCCCGGAATTCTTGATTGTGGTTTCAGTAATGTGCAGAGCGTTACCTCGTAAGGTAACTTTATTCTATGGATTAAAGCGTGGACCACATTATGTTGGGGCTAACCGTACATGACTCCCCAAGGACGGCTTAGCCGTTAGCGGAGGCGGAAACACTTCCACGTCTAATTTAAGCCACGCTCACACTATTTATTCACTGGGAATGTATGTCAATTCTATTCTAGCAAAAAATTGCTTTGCACTGCGTTAGCTGTGTTGGCTAGCACCGTGTTTACTATTCTACAGTACAAGTATAGATTTAAATTTAAGATATAAGATTTTTTTTGTAATATTTTATACAACAATATTTAGTGATTGGAGTATCTGATGTGCTAAAAAGTATTAGAAAACCTTTACGCATTATCTGGAATATTTTTCACATGTACATATGCACGATAGCATTATATAAGTGAAAAAGTTTGAAATTGAAAAAAATGTTCGGCCGGCGGGACTCGGAAAGGCATCCTTACTGCGTGAGAGGTGCATGTATCAATGACGAAATTTCCAATGACGCGTAGAACACGGTAGGTCAATTGGTTAGAGCACAGAACTCACAATTAAATACTTTTAACTGTTAAACGCGAAACATTTACGATCCAACGTTTTGGATGCTTTACCTACGCGTTGTTGGTTAAAATAATATTTGAATTTTAAACCGTTAACTGTATTCATAAACTATTATTGAATGAGTAATACACGTTAAAAGCAACTAATACAAGTGATTAATATCGAAAAGTTACCGTGCACCGACCGCACGTCGAAAACAAGGTACAAAGTTAACATTTCAATCCACTACTATACTGTCAATAACACGGGTCTATCGGGGAGGGTAGATATTTAAAAGCCGCGGCGTTAGCAGTTACCCCAATAATGGAGCCAAACGACGTGTAGTGATTAATGGTCTAAGTGGGATAGACGATTGTATGAACTTCACTAATTTCGGGTTTAGTTATATATTGCCGGACGTGCTTTGGAAAGGCCGTTGGAAGGAGTTAAGATGTTATATGTTGGATGTAATTAATGACAATGTTGACCTTATATTATCTATTTTACGTTCGTCGTCTAATTTTAATAGCCAAAGTGCTACGTGTAAAAAAAACACACGAATAGGCATGACCTGTAGACAAGAAGAAAAGCGATGCAAGTAACTTTATCGAAAATATTTAAATAGAATTGTTTAAGGAAATAGTCTCTAAAAATTAATAAATAAAAAACGAACAATTTATAACAAATGTTTAATAATTTAAAAATCGAAAAATAAAAAAATTTTCGACTCGGGCTGGACTTGAACCGGCATCGTCAGCTTTCCGTGCTGTTGCTCTACCAATTGAGTTACCGAGTCCTACACCTAAAGTAGGGGGGGGGGGGGGGGGGGGGGGGGGGGGGGGGGGGGGGGGGGGGGGGGGGGAAAAAAAAAGGGGGGGGGGGGGGGGGGGGGGGGGGGGGGGGGGGAGAAGAAAGAGGGGGGGGGGGGGGGGGGGGGGGGGGGGGAAACCCCCCGGGGGGGGGAAATTTTTTTTGGGTTTAAAAAAAAAAGGGGCCCCCCGGGGGGGGAAAAAAAAAAAAAAAAAAAAGGGGGAAAAGAATAAAAAAAAAGGGGGGGGGGGAAAAAAAGGGGGGGGGGGGGGGGGGGGGGGGGGGGGGGTCCCGGGGGGGGAAAAAAAAGACCCCCCCCCCCCCAAAAAAGGGTTTTTAGTGTATAAAAAAAAAAGAAAAAACCCCCCGCAATTCATTAAAACATATAAAACACTTTAAATGTTTAAAACGCACATTAATAATTAAAGTTAAAACACCTTAAAATTATAATTTACAAATACGTCGGAGCCGTAGTTAAAATAATTTTAATAATATATTTCGAGTTTTAAACCGTTAAAATGTTAAATTTAAATGTACACTACTCGTGTAAACTACAGATTAATTCGTGGTTCAGCATAATAACGAACTAATATTTATAGGTGAGTTTCCTGGATTTTTCCAATTATAAGCAATTGATATACCACGGCTGCTATTGAATTACAATTACAAAGGTTATTTTGCTGAATCACTTATTTACTTACAACTAACAAGCGAGCCATAAAAGAATGACCAGCTGAATTTACGACTTCGTTTCGTAGTTTCGACGTTATCAACGCTGCTTTTACGATTCGTGATTTCTAACGCATAGCATACTGTGTATTCTTGTTATTTCTACTACCTAACTAGATATGTCAGCGATTTCGTCCGCGTATAATAGTTATTTTAGATATCCAAATTTGTTTCTGCAAACCTCTCCATCTCTATAAATTTAAACTGTTACCAACGACGTCGGTCGCGTCCCGTCGTTTTAGTAAGTTAATCTAAAAAGATGGAGATATACTGCCGTAGCCATTGCTTTAGAATATATAAAGAAAAATTATTCTCTTATAATTTTTTTTTAAAAAGATAAAATTTTTTGGGGTGTTTAAAAAAATTTTGGGGGGGAAGGGAGGGGAAAAGAAAAAAGATGAAAAGTTTTCGTTTTTTAACATTTCGGTTTTTTTTCGCTCCTGTTTGTTACAGCGCAACGTTTTACAGCCTCGATAAATGTTTTAACCAACACAAAAATAATTTATCAATTTGAATCTGTAGTTCCGTCATGTCATCGCGTTGAAACACACAAACAAACACTTCAGCTATATATTTTAAAGTAAAAATTGTTTGATTTTGTAATAATTGTGTAGCATATTTATTTTATCATTGTTTTTATTCATAGAGAAAATAAAACACAAAAGTAAAAAAAATCTACATAAATAACGTTACAAAGAGAGTGAGATGTTTCTTGTTTGTGTATGAAGCTTGTGAGATGAATAATGCATGTCAATATCTCTTGTTTGTATATTAGTTATTCGAAAAATAAAATGTTTATAAATTTTATCTCTCTTATGACAATCTGTATAACATCTTTTTGAAAGTAGATTATATAACAAATTGATGCATATACCATTATTACAAGCAGTTAATATTTAATAGTTAATTTTTAGCCAAAAGCGAAGTAAAAAAATATGACACGAGCGGAACTTGAACAGGCATCTACAGCGCACCGTGCTGCTGCTTTAACCAAATGACCTACCGAGCCCTACAGATTGATAAGTGGTTCACACATTATAATTTCAACCGTAATACTGACCTATTGCGGTTGTTTATATAATGTCATCATGTGCAATAACATGTTAAAAATATGAAAGAATAGCTGTGTCAGCGACCTCGTCCGCGAATAGTTAGAATAGTTTTGGCCGTCCAAGTTTGCTAAACATCTGTAC